AAAAAAAAAAAAAAGGGATAAAACACGCTACTTTCCGAGGTGACTAAGAGGTTCCTAAGAGGAAATAACTACTTGGTCAGACTCCCGGCTCAGTGCTCCCAGAAGCCCCGGGAGTCCCTGAGTGAGGACTGTGACAGTGTCTGATGGCCACACCTGACTTTGCCTTGGAGGTCACCCGTGGACAAGCCGTGGGATTAGGGCTGGTCTGTCAGCTCCCTCTCCACCTCCTGACCTCCGGGGAGTGAAGCCTCCATGGAAACCCCCAAGGACTGGGATTCAGGGAGCTCCCGGCTTGGGGAACCCGTGGAGGTGGCGCGCCTGGAGGGGGCACGGAAGCCCCACCACCCTCCCCCTGTGCCCTGCCCTCTGCCTCTCCCCATCTGGCTGTTCCTGAGTTCCATCCTTTTCTAATGAGCTGGCCATCTGGCGCGTAAACGGTTTCTCTGAGACCCGTGAGCTGCTCTAGCAAATCAACCGAACCGGAGGAGGTCACAGGAACCTCGACTGATACAACAGGACTTGTGAATGACCCCTGAAGGGACTGAGCCCCTTGCCCATGGGGTCTGAGGCCATCTCCAGGTGGACGGTGCGTGAACAGAGTCACAAGGCCCCCCGCCGGGGTCTGCAGGCGTGTGGGGAGCCTCTGCAGCCGCCTGGTGACCAGAAGAAGGGTTGGAAGTGAAGCAAAGTGTGTGCAGCTGGGGCCAGGCAGCACAGGAGATGCGAGGGGACGCTCCCCTTAGAGGAAATAAAGCAGGGGTCGGGGTGGAAGCCAGCAGAGTGCGGGCACAGCGGCCCCACCAAGAGGACTCAGCCCCGCCAGCCCCACGGAGCCCCCAGCGAGGCACAGGCGGCTACCTGCTGCAACGCTTTCACAGTGTCCCTCTGCTTCTCCAGCTCCTCCCGCAGCTGGGCCGCCTCTCTTCTGCAGCTGACATTTGTCTCCTCCAGACGTTTGATTTCCTCTTCCTGGATTAACATTTGTCTGTCCGCCAACTCTTTCTTTATAACCAACTCATTAAACCCATCTGATTTCTCTCTCAACTGTTCTTGTAACAATTCAACCTAAGACAACAGAAACGCTTGAAATACAATAGTGAAAACAGTGATCTTCCAAGAAAGCACACGCCACGGCTGAGCAAACACCGACCCCTGGCGAGCTTGTCCACGGGGAGGCGGCACCAGGAGCCGAGTGAGAGATCGTGGTGAGACTGTGATGCAGGCATTCTCTCGGGAGAGATGCATAAAAACACGAATGCAAAATGTATTAATAAAATAAAGTTAATTTTGTCAGTAGAAAAGCTACTGGGCAATGAAAGAGAAAAGAGCTAGGCATGGTGGCACCCCGGGCGGGGTCCAGAGTCTGGCCAGGTGAAGGTCAGTCCCGGACGGGCTCACACTGCTTGGTCCGCTTGTGTAACTGTCCAGCAAGAGGACAGGTGTGTGGGTGGGAGGGGACCCCATGTGGTGCTGTGGGCTCCACCCCTGTGGGAGTCACCCTGGGGACCTGGGTGAAGGGTGCACGGGACGTCTGTCTGACTGTTTACGCCTGAAAATGAATCCACGATCATCTCAAACTAGGCTCAATGTTTGAAAAGAAGAAGCAGGTCTGGCTCCAAGCAGAAAGAAGCAGGAAAAACAAGCAAGAAACAGGCCCTCATGCAACAGCCCTCCCATCGGTGGTGTGGCGGGGGGGGGGGCACGCCCATCATGCAGACCCATGACATGCCGTACCTGCTCATACAGCGGCTCCTGCTGTCGTTTTCATGTACATGGAAAGAAAAAATCATTCAAAAGGTTAAGCCGGCCTACAGAACGGCTGCCAGACAGGTACTGGCCGGGGCGCGCTTACTTACATCGCTGACACAGGGGCCCCGGGGCCGTGGCCGAGCCGCCTGTCGGAGCTGCTCCTCCAGCCTCTGGATCTCCTGCTGGAACTCTTCCCGCTCGTGTTCCCTGTCAACAGCCTGCTCCTGTCGAGAGAGAGGCAGTTGGCTTGGACATCTCAGAAGCGCTGGCGGGACACAGCACTCACTTCTCCCTCCGCAGGGAAGGGGGAAGGCATGAGGTCGGGAGAGGAGACCACCTGCTCAGACGCTGACTGCCCAGCAGGCCTCTCACACTGCAGCCAGCCCTGCTCTTTCATACGTGTGTTCACTAGCCAGGAAATGGGCTCCCAGTCACAGACACTCTGTGAACGGAGCTAAATGAAGGGCTGACCCTGCAGGTGCAATGAAAGGGAACTTGCGGAACGTGGACAGAAAGAACAGCCACGGGGGGGTGCCTGTAAAACATGGACAGAAAGAACAGCCACGGGGGGGGAGCTTGAGGAATGTGGACAGAAAGAACAGCCACGGGGGGGCACCTGTGGAATGTGGACAGAAAGAACAGCCACGGGGTGCCTGGGGAACGTGGACAGAAAGAACAGCCATGGGGGGGAGCCTGGGGAACGTGGACAGAAAAGAACAGCCACGGGGGGGGAACCTGGGGAACGTGGACAAAACAGCCATGGGGTGCCTGGGGAATGTGGACAGAAAGAACAGCCACGGCGGGGGGGGAGCCTGGGGAA